CGATACTCCCCGAGGGGCCAGTCCGCACGAGCAGGTTGGAGTTACCTCCAATAGCTCCTGCTCCCCGTGGTACCAGAATTAAGTCTCCGGTCAGACCTCGTAGCCGCAGCTACTACCAATTGAGCTTCCATACTGCTCTGGACTGGTGGCCAGGCTTTTGACAGTACAAAAGGAAAGGAAGCTCCTTTATGCCGCTATGTCTATGGTATGGCAAAACTAAAAGCTCTCTCGGGATCAAGAAGAATCTCTCCGCGCCGTTCGATATCAAACGAGGTTTTAGACAAAGCCACTCTCTATCGTGCGACTTGTTCAGTCTACTGCTGGAGAAAATAATTCGAGCTGCAGAGGTGAATAGAGAAGGTACAATCTTCCACATTATTGTTGTTATTCAAGTCGTGAATTCACCTGTGGTCTATATTATACAATCACCATTGTGTTCTTTTTCCAGCTAACTTTGCTGTCTTTAAGAGAATTTAATTGATTACTTGAATCAATATGGTATTAAGCTGTCTTACAACTTACAAGCTATGGCGTTTCACCGCTTCTTTTGACGGAAAGAAATATTCAAGTGAGTGTTGGTTACGATCAATGCGGCAAAGTACAAATATGTTTGCTTGTCAGCTCGCTCATTCAAAGGCGACAGAAAATCAATACTTGGCTGCTCTGCATCTAATTTCCCCATTCAACGGAAAATCGCAACGCAATTGCAAACAACGCCTGCCGAAGGTGGATGCGACCTTTCTTGCGTAAGAAAAGTAGCTGAAGGAATGCCTGTTCTCCACACCAAGTTGGAGGGCCTGTAATATGACCAGTAGTACCGCCAATACAAACATCCTTTCAATTTCCGTTTGCCTAGTTGAGAAATTTGGTTGTAAGAAGTTAGGCGAAGAAGCTTTGAAAGCGTTAAAATTACCAACGGGTTAATTTGTTTAAGTTTGAAAGAAAGGCGTTTGGAAGAGACAAAAAGAAGATTTTTTTTAAATTCGGTGATCACTAAATTTATTAAAACCTATTCACATTATTAAAAAAAAATAATTTTATTTAAATTTGTAGTACAAATTTTATTCTAAATTAATAAAAATAATTAAATTTAATTTTTTTTTTTTTGTTGTCGTATTGTTTTACCAAATTTGCCATATTCTTTCATCTGAGAAAAAGTCGATCCCACTTCCTAATGACCTATTGTAATATTACCATTCGATATAAGCCTGCTATTGGGGTTGAAAACTGGTTTTTGTACCAGCTTTTGAGGGGCATTAACCGTATAACTAATCCGTTATATAACAATTTCCGCTGTATTGACTTAGGCTAGGTACACAGCTGACACGTGTCATTTAATTTAACAACAAAGGAAATAAATTTAACCAAATGCATGGAGGGAACAGAATCACAGTACATATTTATATATGTGGCACACATATGACAAAATGATTTTTACAAAAAAGCGTTCTCTAAATGTATTTTTAGGTATATTTTACTTTGCTCTACTCTTGATTAGTAGAAAGCATTGAAACTTTATATGGGCATATATAAATTGGAAATATTTTGGAAATGTGCTTCACAGTGCAGCATCAACGGCACTTAAGTGACTTTAAACCAGCTGTCAGAAGAATATGCGCGCAGAGAACTTTAGAAAAAGTTCACAGGGCAGTGACACTCAAAAGCGCACTGTACGAGGCGAATTAAAAGAATATTAATAAAACAAAAAGAAAAGAACACACAACAACAACAATTAATAGACTACGTAAAAATTTGTAAAAGAAATTCCTGAAACACTGCTGCGCAGCCCGTCAATTGTTGTTGAGGCTTGTGCCTCAAGACTTACGTAAGTGAGTAAGTAAGTAAGGAGCGTACAGCCAGTGGCATTTAATGCCACTTCATATGTCATGCCCCGAAAGCACAACAAAAGCGCGAAGAATAATTAAAACAACTACAACAACAATGCAATTGAAAATACGCAAACGACATTGACGAGCAGTCGCTAATGCTCAATAGAAAATGAAAAGCAACGGATGTAATGGACGCTAGCAAAACAGAAGAACACAACAACACAACAACGCAACAATGCAGACAAAGCGTTATATTTCGTGACTTCCGTATCAGTGTTGCCACCGGCAGGCGTTTATGCGCCGCC